AATCTATTTTATCATTTTTTATGAATCTCTTGAAAATGATTTTGATTTGATGATTTGAATTTGAATGGTATCTTGATTTTTTGAGATTTAAAACTTGAGATATTTTATCCTCAATGTTTTTTTTTAGATTTAAAACTTGAGATTTTTTGAGATCTTTTATCCTCAATGTTTTTTTTTGCCATCTACCATCCAAATGAATCATGATTGGTATCATTGCTATATTTCTTCTTGTCGAGAAAATTTTTCTAAATGGATCATAATTTTTTGGAACCACATTTTTTTATGATTCATAATAAATTGAGAAATTTTATATGCTTAAATTAATATCTTATTCTCATACAAGATTGAATGAATTTTATCTATATCATAATCTCCTAAGAATTCTTTTTATTTTTTATTTAAAGATGAGATGTGTCAAAATGAATCATGTCTTTTGGTATTCAAGTGATTTTATCTTTCATGACATGATGTGATTGTATTTATGGCTTGTATGTCTTAAAATGATCAAAATGAATCATGTTCTTCCCTTCTTTTTTGTTTACAATGATAAAATGGGAAGAATTTTTTATCATGCATGGTAGGATATAATTTCTATAATGAGAATTTTACACTATTACATGCCTTAATAACATGTTGGAAATTATGTGTTTTGGATACAAAAATTTTTATGATGATGAGCATGTTTTATCTTCATGATTGTGTTTGAAAATCTATAGCAAAACCATGTCCGAATGCATGAAAGTGTTAAATTTCATTTTCGAATTTTCTTGATCCTAACATGATTTAGTATTTCTCTTTCGGACTTAATGTAGCTTTCATAAGCATATGTCATATCGAGTTTGTTTCATATCATTGATTTTTGATATATGGAATCAATTAACAAATCCATCTCTCATAGACTTATCATGTGAAAAATATTTTTTTCGAGAAATGGATTTGATGAAATGATCCCTTCTTATGAATTTCTTTTTGAAAAAGGAAGATCTTTTTTAAGATTTGCAAGGATTTGATTCACATACATATCTTGATCCTTGCAAAAATGAAGCTTGATCCTTGCATAAATGGATTTGATCCTTGCAAAAATAAAAATAAATATTTGTATCATGTTTGATGATTTTACATTTTAATAATATGCATGATGAGTTGCAATGATGATTGATACTTTACCTTTGTCATGAATTTTGATATAAGGGTCTTCCCTTCTTTTTGACAATGACAAAGGGGGAGCAAGAATTTCTAGCGTGAACATCATGAAAAGAGGCAAACTAGCTAGCTTGCACAATTCAAGATGAAAGCAAAAATTATACTTCTCAAAAGAGAAGAAATTGCTATCTTGAATATCACCAATAATTGCTAGCTTGAAATCTCAATAAAATGCAAAAATGTTCTATCTTGCCTATCTCAAGATGCTAAACATGCTAAACTTACTTTGCAATGAAAGCAAAATTGTGAGCTTAAATATTGCAAAGGAAGCAAAAATTTGCAAGCTTGCAACTTGCATATTTCAAGAAGCAAGAGTTGCCTTCTTGAACATCTCAAAATGGCTAGCTTGCATGTTGTATAATTTTTGTAAAATTATATTACGATTTGAACTCCTACTTTTAAACACATTAGAATTGGAACCTCTCCTTTTTTTGATGACAAGGGGGGAGAAGTATGATGTTATGCATAAGTTTATGCATAAGTTCATGATGACGTGTTGCAAGTATTCATGATGAATATTGCAATGACTTGAATTCAGTTTGAATTCAAGGTTCTATCAATATGGCATATTGATAGAGGGAGTTTGTTTAAACTCCGGGAGTTAAGTTTAACTCCGTCATCAATTGGTTGTCATCATAAAAAAGGGGGAGATTGTTGAATCTCGTATTTTGATGATGAAACCAATTGATAATTGTATTTATGTTTTAATCTGTGTTTTGAGTGACGTAGGATGCTTCGATCAGGATAAGACAATTAAAGCAGAAAAAATCATGTTGGGCCGGAGGAACACGTCAGAAGATTGGACATCGGGCCGGTAGATCGGTCGACGTATAGACAGAAGGCTTCGGGCCGTGGATTTGGGCATCAGGCCAAGAAGAGCGGGTATTGCGCCAAGGATATCGAAGTTGCGGAGTTAACTGGCCGATTGGGCAATAGGCCGCAAGAGAGGACGATGCGCCGAAGAATCAGACGAAGCGTCGAGGGATCAATGACATGCCAGACAACTTGATTAATGCTTAGTATTAATTGTCTAGATCGAAGTTTGTTTTAGATGTGTAGGATTAACTACGATGGCAGTAAGACATGCCGCAAAAGTTACGCCGGAGTCAAGAACATGATCACGTTAGGGGTTCGAGAGTTCAACGGAAGTCCGGACGGTCGTCAGAGGTTCTACGGGAACAAATCCGAGAAGTCCAGGAGCTTGCCAAAGAAGCTCGTCGGAACTCGCCAAGTGGATCGTCGTAAGTCCAGGAGTTTGCCGGAAGTCCGCCAGAGCATCGCCGAGGGTTCGTAGGATGTTCGTCGGAAGCTCGCCGGAAGAAGCGATTGACGCACCGGAGCAAGTTGCAGTAAATGTCTTAAGAAATATCGTAGTTAGCATGTAGATTAAACTAGGAATAGGAGGTGATCCCATTAACTTAATCTAGGGGCAATTAGGCCCTTGACAGACCCAAATTGGGCCGAATGGATTAGCCCATTCGGACCCAGATTTCCTAGCCGACGGTGGCACCGCCCAAGAGCTCAGGAAAGCTGGGCGGTGTAACCACCCAGGTCAGGTGGTGGTACCGCCTGGGCTCAGTCTCCGAGCTAGATTGGGCGGTGGTACCGCCCCTGTCAGGTGGTGGTACCGCCTAAGCTCAGTCTCCGAGAGGTAGTACTGCCCAGTTACGGAGGTAGTACCGCCAGGACTCTGGAAATCCGGGAGATGACATTTTTGAGTTCCAAATTCAAACTAGTTTGGGGCCTATATAAACCCCACCCTTTCCTGAATGAAAGGACACCAAAAATCCAATCTTACTCTGTGATTTTTAGAGCTCAAAAGTGTTGTATAAACTAAAAGTTCTCCTCCCTCTTTTCTTCCAAGTTTTGATCATTCAAGAGAGGAGTGAAAATTCTATAAGGGTTGTCTCCTAAGCCCGTCAAAAGGAGTGAAACTGTAAAAGGGTGGTTGGCCTTTACCTATTGAAGGAAGGCCTCTAGTGGATGTCGGTGACCTCGTCGGAGGAGGAAGCCAAAAGTGGATGTAGGTCAAGATTTACCGAACTACTCTAAAATTGCGGTGCTCTCTGGTTTACATTTCTTCTTGCTACTTACCTTACTGCAAACCTCCATATATGCTTTACTTCCTTATTACTTTTGCTGCACTTCTTTATGAACTCGCTTTCAAGTTAAGTTTCCGAAAATAGTTTTACGTCGGAAACGATTTCATCGTACGAACGCAGTATTAATCGTCGAAAGTTTTTAGCTGCACTAATTCACCCCTACCGAACTTGATTTTTTTTTACATTTATATTTTTATTTAAGATAAGATATTCATTTACGGAGGATTGATTATTCAAAATCTCTAGCAATAAAGTTTTGAGAGGCACTACCGAAAAAATTAAGGTTCATCATTTCCTTAAGACATTAGTTTGATGATGATTATCGATTTCACGATGCAAGACCTCATCTAACAAATTTTAAGATATCCTAATTTTTTAAGATGTCATCGATGTATCAGATCCATCAAACCCCTCTTAAACTTAAGTTAGTATTGCTTAAAGTATTCAATGTCTCAAAATCAAAGAGTTTTCTTGTAACAGAAATACTTTGATTTATAGTATCGCATCTCTAGTCAAATGACCAATTCTCTGTATCAAATATTATATAAGAAAATATTAAAAAAATTTAATATACTTAACGATAATTAAACCAGAACTAACAAATCTAAACACAATTGTCCAATTTATATACCAAGAACATAGTGAATTGGTCATGATATTTTGTAATTTATGGGAATACATATGCAGATATACAAATGATTCATTTGCAGGGAACCAAAGAACCCTAATTACATATATAGAACATTGCCTTTTGCTTCTTCTTGATCTTTCACACTAGTTCTTCTGTGCATGTCACCAAAGAAACACTTGGATTCAGGTTGCCTACACTGATGTCATCTATTCAATTCTTGGGGCATATTGGCACATGCAAATAAACCTAGTTTTTGCCATCCAATGTTGACCTGGATTAAGGAGAAACTTGTCATTTGATAAAAAGAATAAAGGAAAAAATGGATGCATAATATACTACTGCTAAAGAACAAGTCCATCATCATCATCATTCTGCTGTCTGCTCTCCCTGCAACTTTGCTTATGATTGGCTCTGTTCATACAGCTAACAACCTGTTGGAAAGTACTAAAAGTCTCGTTTCTCACCTTAGCTTTCCTCCGGTTTCTGCAACGTAGACATGTGAATTTGCAGCTCAGATAGAGATATATGACAAAAGTCCACAAGCATACTGCTGGCTAAGCAGCTTTGGAATATCAAGTAATGGGCCAAATCAAATTTTATCTTGGCATCTTCCACCGTTACCGGGATCTCAGCAGATGCCACTGTAACACAAAAAGATCATCTGAATCAATGGAGAGTGCCTCTTCTCCACTGCATTTGATGCTCCCTAAACCATGAAAGAAATCCAAGCATGTAATCTAAATATGATGTACTTTTTGTTATCAGCCATCAGAAACAGCATAGCCAGGAATACAAATGCCACCACCATCATGTGAGTACATGAGAAGGGGAAAACACAGGAAAACTTCTCCAGCAATTCTCACCAACAAAAGGACAGCTTGCTGAGCATCAACACCGAAAGAAACGAAGAGCCAAAATCCTCCAACGAACTGCTCCCATCATCCCAGCTATGATGAGTTATACTAGGAAAGCTTGCTAAGCAAAAGCATGGAGATCTCCTAAATGTTATAATGAAGACATGCATGTCATCATCAAAAACATATCAGTGAACAGAAATGCACAAAGAGAAAGAAAGAACAAATTAGGAGTAATCAACAAGAAGAAAACACAAAAACACTGTATACAAAAAGATAAGTCATTCCCACAGCTTGCTACTATTTTGAGGACTTCACGATTATGAGACTTGTTGTTGAAGATGAACATGACAAATATTCGAACAGAATCTAACAAGCAAGCTGCTGCTTTCTCCCCATTGTTTCTACACAACCTGTGACACAACCTAAATGCAAAGAATACTCACCACCTCCTGCTTTATCATCGGAAGAAGACACTTGGTTCATCATCTAATCTTCGATCTTGCCTTCTTCGAGGATCGATTTGTAGACGCAGCATCGCCGAAAGCTGCGGATTTGGCACTTCCCGGTGACAATTCACTCGGGATGGTGGGATTTGCTGAGGCAGTCGAGGCCTTCCGTTCGGCTCCTCACCGTCCTAAGGAAGACCTCCCGCACCTGGCGCTCCAGTTGTTCTAAGCCGTCTTTCATGGTGTTGCAGACCTCCGCTAGCTCTTCCACCCCCTGCCTCAGCTCCGTCTCCTTCCCCTCCGTCCATGGGAAGTCAACCGGGTCCAGCAACTCTGTCAGGTGGCGGATGCACTTCTCCATATGGTGGATCTCCTTTAGCATCCCGCATGAGCTCTTCCTCTCCTTCCTTTTTGATTCCTCGAAGATTCGGTCGTGAAGCGACGTGATGGAGGCGGCCCAGGAGAAGTTCCGGGGAACCCAGAAGTGGGTCTGGAGGCCGCGGTCCTGACACGGGATCGCCGCCACGAGCGCCCACATCACGAAGAAGAGCACAGAGCTCATGGTGAAGACGGGGACGGCGAGGCCGTTGGTGGCGGTAACCTCGTTGCCCCTAGGAGGGGTGAGATTGTTTCCGATCGCTTGGAGCTGCCGCGCGGCGGACCACGACCGGGAGACGCTCCAAGAGAGGGAACGGTGGTGCCCCGAGGAGGATACGGCGGCCCCACCGCTGCCGGCTCGGCGGTGGTGGGGCGGCTCCTTGCCGGCGCGGCCGAAGGAGCGATTGCGGAGGGTCAGGACGGACCCGCCGCCGGCCTCCTTCTCGTCGATCATGAGGATGGCGAGTTCGGTGAGGGCCTTGCGGGCGCGGCGGAGCTGGCCCTCGCCGAGGGTCCGGCCGCCGCCGCTGAGAGCGGCGAGGGCGATCTCGAGGTGCCGGCGCCACCGACGGAGCTGGTCGATGCCGTCGCGGACGGCATTGCAGACGTCGAGGGCCTTGACGGCGCGGTCAAAGTAGTCGGAGAGGAGGCGGTCAAGGGGGGGCCGGGAGAGGTTCACCCGCCGGCCCTGGCTGCAGCCGAAGAGGATCCCGCGAAACTCCTCCTGGCAGACGAGGAAGCCGTCGAGCAGCTTGCGGACCCAGGCGAGGGAGAGCAGATCGTCGTCAGAGGAAGAGAGGTCAAGGAAGAGGTCGGCGACGCGCTTCTGGAGGGCCTCGAGATCGAGGTCGAGGGCGGCGGGGTCATGGTGTCGGCCGGCGTGAACGGTGTGCACCTGGTCGCGGCGGATGCTGAGGATGGAACGCCCGATGGAGGCAAAGGGGAGGGACGAACCCTGGTAGTCCATCGTCGGCATGATCACCACCGACGACGACAACAAATCCTCTTAAACACTTCTCAGAGAATTGAACCGGGGGAAAATTCGAACCTTGGGGGGCAAGGAAACGGAGTTGGGTTCGGGAAAGGGGTTGATGGGGATGGGGTAAAAATAAGAGTCGTCCAACGAGTGAGAGAGAGAGAACGAGTGGGAACGCACACGAGTGGTCTTGCGGGGAGGCAAGTCTGTGAGAATGGACCGGGTCCGGTCTATATGGCATCGGTATGTCGAATCGGTCTCGGGAACGAGTCCGGTCCAATCTCTCGCTCGTGCGTCGAATTGGTCACGGGAAAGGTGTCTGCCCCCTCTGTCCGTCCCACGCGATTTCCTGTCGCGGCCAACGCAGGGTTCCGCGGCTCGCCGCATGATGGTGACGCAGTGCAGTTCCGTTCTGACGTCCTGTTGACACGGGATTGGGTGTTTCCTGTTGTTCTCCGGACACGGGATCCTTGACAACCTTGTCTGATATAAGAAGATATGATTCCAATTCCATACCAAATCAGACACCAAAAGACAGTTCCCTGCCATGTTTTAATTTACATGAGTTGGGAGTTGATACACATATTTAATACTATCATATCAACTATTGTAATTGCTGCAAATAAGTAGGTTGCAAATCATGCAAATTATGATTATTATATTTGGGAATCTGACCAGAGAGAGGGAGAAATGTGGGACAATCCAAACGACGATGATTGGATATTTGGTGATGACATTTCATCCAAGACAGACAACTTGTCTTGGGTAGCGAAGACAGCAGGACATAATACAGCTTGAACTCCACTCTGTCAAGGTCAAAAGTGTTGGTGGCATGCAGAGGGATGATAAGCCATGCAACGTATTCCCACATGGGCATCCAGCTCAGCTGCATTGCTTGTTCTTTACTCCTTGTGGGTGATTGCATGCATGAAGCATTCCAAATCTTTTTCTTCTGCCCTTGCCCTTCTTAATTGGACCACGTAGAGATATAAGAACACGATCCGAACCAAATAATTAGAATACCTTTGACTTGAGAGGGGACAAAATGAACATGGTGTGAATGGGAAGGCGAAATTGGTTAGAGGACAAACTACTGCAGAAGTCTTCCATGTGACAGACACCACTGGGCAGAGCCTATTAGCCTAAATAATACAGGCCCCAACCAAACTTGAGATATAGGACATTCAATGACACATTGATGCGGTCCTGGTTGGCATGTTATGACAACATGCTTGCGTGATGGCCGTTTAGCTTGGTTTGCCTTCGGCCTTGAGAGCACGTCACAACAGGAAGCCATGCCCAGCCACTCTTCTGTAGGTTGACTTGATGTTGTTGGTATTTTTGGTCAATCAGGATTTGATGCATGAAAGTCCAATCAATCCCTCTCCAGAGATGGTAACAGACAATATTTTCTCATTCAATATTAACGGGATATGTCAAGTTTATATAATATTTAAAGAGAATATTTTTTGTATCTGATATTTTTTAATATTTTTAATTATCGATGATTCTCAGATATGTTCTCATATGAAGCATATAAAATAAAACTTTTTCACTCAATAATAATTACAGAGATAAGGGTTTTTTTTTGTTTTTTACTCCGAGAGAAATTCTTATCTTTTCATAGATTATAATACTGATCATATAACGACTCATCTGCAAAACCATGAAAATAAGGACAAGAGATCAATGAGGTATTATTAAAAAAATAGTAATAGTAATCTTAAAGTAACTCAATTTAATCCCACTAAATTGAGTGGGATTAGCATCTCTGCTTTCTCGCCCCGGAGCAGCTCTCAGTAATGGCCATGTCAGGTTCAGTGCGCTTCGGCACCAAAACCAGTGTTGCTGTAGAAAAATGGAGTATCACTTTGTGTGATGCTGCATCAGAATCCATTCTCCCTTTAGCTGTGCATAACGAAGCGTCTCTCTTTGTCTCTAACATGCTTTTCTTTCTCACCAAAGAGGTAGTATGTTAGTGTTGCCACTGCATCTAATACCTTACAGGTCACCCTGCACAACTACTTCCCCGAGTGAGCTAAACCGTACCCTTTTGCCTGTCGCAGCATAATCTCGTTTCATGAACTGTATCTCTAGTTTCTGTCACTTCTCTTTCTTTAAATTCGAGTTCACTTAAGCTTAAGCAGGGACTCCGGTAATGGAGAAGACGAAGCTTTGCCTGGTTGTCCTTCTGATAAGGGTTATATACGCAGGCATGCAGATCATCATCAAGGCGGCTTTCGATGGTGGCATGAACACCGCAGTCTTTGTCTTCTACAGGCAACTAATTGCCACCCTTTTCTTGGTGCCAGTTGCGCTTGTGGTGGAAAGGTGCTTGTTGGCTATACCTCGTGATGCTTCTTGCTGTCACCGAGCTGTACTGTTTGCTTTTAATGTGCGATTTATATCTCAGGAAGAGAGCTCCAGCCCTGTCATTCTGGTTGGCCTTCAAGATGTTCATGCTTGCTTTAGTTGGGTGAGCAATTAGCCGAGGAACGAATTCAATCACTTCTGTTCAAAGTTTCAAACTCATCTGTGTTCATTGTTTCCTTTTCTCAGGCTTGCTGGGACTCTATATTTGTACTCCGTCGCTCTGGATTACACTTCAACAGCGCTGGCATCTGCAGCAATAAATTCCATCCCGGTGACTACCTTCATTTTGGCAGTAATATTTAGGTGAGATTTCCTTTGTTGTTGGTAGGAATTTTCATATGATGATGATTGCGAGAACACGAGTAGTGCCCTTGGTCTCATCTGCAACAACAGGACGGAGAAGGTGAAGGTAAAGAGGCACTCAGGGATCGCGAAGCTCTGCGGAGCAGGACTGTGCATTGCAGGCGCTTTGACCATAGCTTTCTACAGAGGACCTCGTTTGAAGCACTTGAATCGCCATCACGTCCTTACGGGTGGGAATCAAGCTCAGGTTCATCCTCATCCCTACAGCAGATGGGTCTTGGGGACCTTCCTCATGATCGTCTCCAACCTGACATGGTCACTGTGGCTCGTCTTACAGGTCTCTCTCTCTCTCTCTCTCTCTCTCTCTCTCCGTAGAGTGCTTTACCTGATCTTTAATTTGACGCAGGAACCATTGCTGAAGCAGTATCCTTCAGAACTCATGTTCACCACTCTGCAAAGCCTCTTCAGCGCCATCCAAACATTCTTCATCACTCTGGCGATCGAAAGGGACTTCTCGCGGTGGAAGCTGAGCCTCGACATGGGACTCATCTCAGTGGCCTACTGCGTACGTGACTAGATCGTCTCTCAACGCGTTCATCCACGAGTTCTTAAGCTAGCTCAAATCTTGACACACACGATGCTTGACAGGGCATCGTCGTCACCGGGCTCGCATTCTTCCTGCAGTCATGGACGATACAGAGACGAGGCCCTGTTTTCTTGGCCCTATCAGCTCCACTGACGATGATCATCATCATGATGCTCTCGCCTTTCCTCCCCGGAGTCTTCGTCGATTTGGGGAGGTACGCATTTGTCTGCAACTGCTCTGGCAACACAACTCACTGCCGGCCGCCATGCAATGACGACGACATCTTGTTGCAGCGTCCTTGGTGGAGTTCTCATGGTTGGGGGCCTTTACAGCGTCCTGTGGGGAAAGAGAAGGGAGCAGAAAGAGGAAGAAAACCCAACAGCAAAAGATACCAAAGTTTGCTTGGAGGAGAAAGAAATGGCATCACCAAGAGAACTTCGATGAACATGATTCTGGAATCGTTGACATGCATAGAATATGTGATAATGTACCCCTTGCCAAACAACATAATCTATTAAGTGTTATTATTACATTGAGGCCGTTGACTATCGAGTCAGCTTGACTTGATTCAGTGTTGATAGTATAGGTCCATCCTGGAGAGCTAACATGGAAAACTATTATAAAGAGTTGACGTGAAACGTGAGTATAAAGAGCTGGCATCGATAACTTCCTGGCTGTGGAGGGAGCGAATTGGCATCGATAACTACCTGACGGAAACCAACCATCTTGCCCGAGACAGAGTCATCTCGTAGTACCTTCTTTGTCGTGTCGAGAATCCTGGGGGATGTTATGAAATAACCCATGCTTAAGTCACAGGGATGAGGAAGGAGAAAATTAGCCGTGTTTAGGAAAGTATGCTGTTCATCCGTTTGCTCCTGTTTGGCTCATGGCTCGATTTTTATACCTAAGTGTCTGGTGATGAAGACTGGGATTAGTGAGAGTCCCCCGTACCCTGCTTGATAGGGGCCATTAATGGAGGTGGCTTACCGATGCGTCATCCTGAGGTCGGCGTCAATGTTGGGCGATCTAGATGGTGTTCCCTATCCGACCTTTTAGTCGCTTTGAGTCAGACAGGGAGTCATATCTCTTTTGGTCATCCAAAAGGAAGGTGTGGGGGACTCGAGCCATTCTATTGGCCATTAATGTAGGCGAGTGGCCATTAGTGCAGGTATCATTTTTTGAATTCAAAGTTTATTTCGATATGACATATAGACGGGGGAGTTTAGTTAAAACTCCATCATCAATTGATTGTTATTATAAAAAAATGGAGAGATTGTTGAATCCCAAATTTTGATGATGAAATCAATTGATGAGTTTATGATCTAATAAGTGTTTGAGAAAAATAACGTACAACTAACTTCGATCATGGAAAGACAAATCGATTGAAGTAGGAGAATCAGATATTGGCCCGGAGTGGATCATGTCAAAGATCGGGCATCAGGCCATTAGGATCGGGCATTGCACCAAGATCAGATATTGCGAGAGGTCAACATTATAGGGAAATCTTGGGGGGCAACATCATATACGCAGCGGAAGAACATAAAAACAAAATCTTTAAATTCTCAAAGATATGTTCAATGTCGTGTGAATATTGGTGCATAAAAATTGGTGAAACTTAAAACTGCGTATAAGATAGATTATGTTACTTAGGGAGATTGTATATCCCTGAATCCCTACAGATCTCTAGGAGAGGGTGAAGGAGGTCAAGTGCCCTCCTCTCTAACGGTGATCCACACAGTAGGGCTACGACGACGCTCCTCAAAACTCCAAACTTGCTCTGAGATGGAGAGGGAGAGGAGAATAAGAGAGGCAACCAAAAAGCTCTAGCATATGGACCATTGATTCCATCCTATTTATAGAGGTCATCTGTCAACTTAACCATAATGGATCATGCCCTATTGGGTATTGGATGTCCATTCAACTATCCAAGCCTCTTAGATTAGTGGATTTCTATCTAATAATCTCTCATTAGCTCTTATTGGATCTCATACATAGGATCCAATAATTGAGTGGCTTATTGGACATCCAATAAGATATGAGCTCCGGTGGATATCTCACATTCGAACCTCTATTCATCGTAACGCCTACCATATGTGTGTGACCCTTTAGGCCCAATATCGAGCTAGCTGTGTGCCATACCTATCAGAACTCCTTTTGGCTCAGTGAATTACTATCTCCGTAATAATTCACTCGACTCATTGATTGCGGACGTACTAGGCCACTACACCGTAGTCCCCATATGATTCAAAGGAATCTAATCTATTGAATCTATCTGTCCTTAGTTATTGTGTACCTATAATCCCTCATCCATCTAATATCCCAAAGACCGTATATCTGGCATGGTGCTGTCAGACCTATATGGTTTCTACTCGAGTCTCGCTTTAATCGGATTCTCTCGGAAAACTCTTTCTCTCTCAATCTGAATGATCATGGCCAGGGATTTGTCTAAGCAAGAATACATGGGGCATTCATCTTATGACACCAAGTGTAGATGATCCATTGTCGACACTCAATAATCCTCGTAAGGTTGACTACCACTCCCGATGACCGATTGTGTTAGATCTAGAACCTCCAAATCTATAAGTCTCATACCAAAGAGTATACAGAACATCCTTGGTACCTTAAGTCTAAATATTAGATACACCACTGGGACTACGAAATCGTTGTCTCACAATAAGGCATCATCAACCATCCAATATTTTATAAGCGGATCAATCAGTGAACTCATTCTCCAATGAGCACCTGTACTATGTCCCTAGTGTCCCTACATGAGTAGCTATGAGACGAGCTGCATCCATCATATGGACGGGTATACAACACACCAGTCTGTCCGGTTATCTTGATGTTCCTCTCGAGTAACCTATGACTGAGATTATTTAGGATCTATGTTTAAAGGTGAATCAGTCAATCATCTATGTGTCTGATCCTCATCAGACCCTTATGATGCTCAAAGATAATATGAGATAAGGGCTTTGTCAATGGATTTGCAATGTTATATTCGGATGAAACTATTGTTACTCATATATCTCCTCGGGTCACGATCTCTCTGATTAGGTGGAACCTCCTCAGAACACTTCTCATAAGACCTAGATTCCTTCACTTGAGTAATCCCCCCATTGTTATCACAATATAAGGGAATCAGCTCCTTATTTCCTAGCATGACTCCGGATCTGTGATGAACTTCTTCATCCAGACTCCCTCCTTTGTTGCCTCTGTTGCAACAATGTACTCTACCTCTATGGTCGAGTCAGTAGTAGTATCTCACTAGGAATTCTTCCAACACATTGCTCTCCATTGAGGGTGTACACATACTCCGAATTTGACTTGCTATCATCAATATCGGACTGGAAACTCGAGTTTGTGTAGCCTTCAACCCTGATGCTACTATCTTCATATACTAGTAAAAAATCCTTAGTCCATCTCAAGTACTTAAGGATACACTTTATTGATTTCCAATGCTCCAAGCCTGGATTCACCTGATACCTACTCGTGACACTCAAAGCACGTGCAATATTAGGCTTGATATATAGCATGACATACATAATAAACCCTATCGTCGAGACATAGGGTGTCCTATCCATGTTCATCCTTTCTTTAGGAGTCTTTGGAGACATACTCCTAGAAAGCAATCTCTCATATCTCATCGGTATGAGATATCTCTTGGAATTTTTCATGCCAAACCTTTTGACAAAAATGTCTATGTACTTGGACTGGGATAAGCTAAGGATCTGAATCTCCAAGATACAGGATTCTTCCCCTAAGTTCTTCATAGAGAAGTGTCTAGATAACCAAGCCTTTACTATAGATAGCATTCCTATATCATTTTCAATGATCAGAATGTCATCCACATATAATACCAAGAATGTGATAGTGCTCCCACTTACCTTCCTGTACACACAAGGCTCGTCTTTATTCTTAATGAAGTTATAAGATCTGATTGCCTCATCAAATCTTATGTTCCAATTTCGGGAAGCTTACTTTAGTCTATAAATGGATCTAAACAACCTGTACACCTTATCTGGGTAGTCCTTGGACACGAATCCCTCATGCTATATCATATACACCTCTTCCTATTATTAAATAATATAGTTTTCATGTTCATCTATCACATCTCATAATCATAGTGTGTTGTAATAGTCAATAGAATTCGGATGGATTTTAGCTTGACTATAAATGAGAAGGTTTCGTCATAGTCAATACCTTGCCTTTGACGATACCTTGCCACTAGCTTTGCTTTATAGGTCTCTATCTTTCCATCTACTCTAATATTCTTCTTAAAGATCCACTTGCAACCGATGGGTACAATACCCTCGGGTGCATCAGTTAGGTTCCAAACCTTGTTGGAGTAAATGAAATCCATCTTAGAATTCATGGCTTCTTGCTACTTCCCGGAGTCTATACTCATAATAGCCTTCTCATAGGTCTGAGGATCAATCTCCTCAACATCCCCTCCTCAAATATTTCCCACATATCTCTCAGAAGAATAAGATACTCTGTCGGACCTATATAAAGTTGGAACTTGTGTTTTAGGTAGTTGAATAGACTTGGGTTGTGGAATGGTACTTGAGCTAGATTCTTCAACCTCGCTCAACTCTATTATACTCCCACTATCTCCACCAAGAATGTGTTCCTTCTTAAGGAACACCACTCTCTTGGCTACAAAGATCTTTTGGTCCTCGGGATGATAGAAATAATATCCATAAGTTTCCTTGGGGTATCTCACGAACTTGCACCACTCCGTCCTCGATTCTAACTTATCAATGTTGTGTCTTTTAACGTGGGCAAGGCAGCCTCAAATCTTAACAACCTTAAAATCAGACTTCTTCCCTTTTCATATCTCATATGGTGTAGACATTACCGATTTAGTTACAACTCTGTTCAAAAGATAAGCTGCGGTCTCTAGAGCATATCCCCATAATAAGATGGGTAGGTCAGTGAAACTCATCATGCACCGCACCATGTCTAACAGTATACGTTTCCCCATTTCAGATACACCATGAGCTGAAATGTATAATGAGGTATCCATTGGGATAGAATCCCATGGTCTTTGAGGAACTAGGTAGACTCTCTACTCAAGTACTCACCTTCTTGATCTGATCGAAGAGTCTTAATACTCTTTCCAGTCTTATTCTCCATTTCATTCTTATACTCATTGAATTTCTTAAAGGCCTCAAACTTGTACTTCATCAAGTACATATATTCATACCTTGAGAAATCATTAGTAAAAGTAATGAAGTAGGAGTAACCACTTATGACATGAGTTGATATGGGACCACATACATCACTATGTATGAGTTTTAGGAGCTCAATGACTCTCTCTCCAGTTCCACTAAAATGAGAGTGGGTTAGTTTTTTTGAAGGCAATGCTCGTAAGTTGCATATGACTCATAGTCGAATGGATCTAGATATCTATCTTTTAACAACTTTTGGATCATTTCCTCATGGATGTGACCTAGCCTATAATGTCACAGGTATATACTGTTCACCTCATCTCATTTCTTCTTGGACACACCTACATTCATGATATGTA